TTCACATTTGCCTATGTCCTAGGTAATTATGTGATTTTATGTGGACATTTTGTAACAGGTAACAGACCTATTAACGCCCGTTTCTAAGTTTCCGAAATTCCTCCTCAAATAGATGTGAAAATGCCAACAGAGCGGGGTAAGACAAACCTGCCGGGCTTCTCGCGCCTACGCTTTGGAATGTTCGCCTCGGGTGTAAAGTTTTAACTACACGTTGAGGTGCCAATTACACCCCGTTTGCATGATGCGCGTTTCTGACCTTTGTTTTCGGTCAGAAAATTTAAAAACACATTTTAAACACATTTTAAATACTCGTTATCTAATAATTATTACTAGAATGCCCTATACCATACCATAGTACAGAAAGCTTTGGCAATGGCCTAGGGTGTTCATGGTGTTCGGAAACAACACGAAACTATCAGATTCGCGAAAAAAAGGCTGTTGAACAGTACACGTGTGTTTTTTAAATCTAACTCTGTCAAGAATGGTACCGGGTATTTAGTTGATTTTTTTTTCATAATATCCACGTACTTTCCGATTTCGAGAATGATTTACTAGGATGCTACATATCTTGAAATATTATACTAGCCTTTTTAGGGGTTTACATTGTTCTGGAGTTTCGAAGGCAACACGGAACCACCAATTTTCCAATAAAAGTTCAATGGATGTTTTCATACCTCTACGAAAACGGCGACTTCAATATTTTGTTTGGACGCCATTTACAAACACATTTCAAATGACCCGTTACCTATTTTGTTTTACTGGAATGCCCTGTACCATACCATAGTACAGAAAGATTTTTCAAGGGCCTAGGGTATTCTTGATTTTCAGAAACAAATCAGATTTGCGAAAAAAGGCTGTTGAACAGTACGGTTTTAACGCGTGTCCTATGAAGCTAACTCTGTCAAGAACAATACTGGGTATTTTGTTGATGTTTTTTTATAATGTCCACATACCATCCGTTTTGAGAATGATTTACTAGAATGCTATATATCTTGAAATATTATACTAGCCTTTTTAACTGGTCCCTATGAATCTTGATGTATGTAAAATATCCCCTATTGCTTAAACCTTTAGCATTTGTCGGGCTCTTCTGAAAACTAATCATTCGTTCAAAGTTTAAACTCTTATTTCTTTATTTCTTTCATTTGAAGAATTATACTAAACGACGGAAAATATTCCCGTAACCTTTCTTACATGTAAGAGGTCATCTCGGATCAGTCCGAATCATTGTAAATGTAGGGTAAACATATGCATGACGCCAGGTCATCGGGATCTACACAACCACACTAGCTCACTGTAACAAAACAAGCAAACGCTTTCTTCGTGGAAAAAACTGGAAGTCCGTTTATAAAAAAAATACATTATTTTTGCATTTACTCACCTGGATGCGCAGCGATGCCAAAGACACAACAGATTGCGACGGCACAACACAGTTGAAATGCTGTCATGTTTTCCTCTCGCTTGCTTTTAAACAAACACGTCAAAGAAAAACTAAGAAAAGAGGAGGCACATTAAATGCTCTCCTAACGCTACTGTACCACTTCCCTGCCCTTATGGTTTGATTTTGGTTGTCCTGACAGTTAAAAAAAGAATGGGGGAAAATGCAGTTCCGAGTCAGTACGACCCCGCTGTTTCTAACAGTATATTTTCGGGAGAAACGAGATCTCGTCAACAGCAACACAACTCAGTCAGGAGGTGCGCAGAAACAAATTGCAGTCCTTATCCTGTCAATCAGGGTGAAACCATTGCGATATTAATTGGGGGGATACCGTAACAAAAAGCTTGAGAAAAGTCACCGATAACATTATCAACTTGAATTCTTTCTTTTTTTGTGGGTGGGTGGAGACATACAAGTATGCCTAAGAGGATACAGGAGCCTACTTAGATTATCATTATTGAACTAAAACGTTTATAGTTTACGAACTCCCCACCTCCCATCACAGGATAAATGTGCTCCTGTTGTTATAATGGGTTACCAACAGGTGGAGGCGCTTGCACCGATGGGTTTCTAATAGCGTGACTTCTACACAAACATCACAAAGACACCTGTAGCATAGGAGGATTAACAGACTTAGTGTTGAGTAATTGTGTTTAAATCATTCATGACAGTGGTTCTTAACAATACCAGGGGATGAATATAATGGTCCCTACCAATTTTCCACTATGGAACATGTATAGAGCATGTCTTAGCCTAAAGGAGTAAGTTTATTGCCGTGGGACATACATCCGCTCGGAAATTGAAGAAAAATGCCCCTTTGCCCATTTCAGGAAGCGGTCCTGTCAGAGACACGTGACAATATGATGTTGGATTTTTTTGCTATTGATTGAGATGATATTTGATATGTTGGTAAGTCTTGGAAAGGCAAGGGTCAAGGTCAGATATGGGCCTCCTGGTGTCTGACCTTGGTACTGCAGCAGAACTTCCGGTTTTTGCATCTTTTGTTCTGAACATGCTATGGTCTTGACTTTTTTAGTGACAAATAGCTTTTTTCTGTCAGAAATGAGTGGTCTGGGTTTGGTTCCCCTAGTAGCTTGTTCTGGAACTGCAGGGGACCTTCTGGAGAAAACTTTAAAAGCCAATAAGTCCAGCTAGAAACAACTTATTTTCATAATTTTGGTATGTAGGTAGCTAAAAGAGAAATGTACATAATCAGATGCAGATAATGCAAACGATGAATTAATTTGCATAATTAAGGAGATAATGCTTTATGTATACAGTGTTTTTTATAGTACTTTTATACATGGAATCTAATCTATATGTAGGCTTGGCGTAGCTTCCGGTCGTTCGACAGAGTCTCCCGAGCCGTAAAAGCTGCTGTGTGTGAGGTCGAGGGAAGGCACGGAGTCTCCGACAAGTTCGTTGCGATGGGACGGGTTTATTCTGCTGAAGACCCTAGTTGTTACAGCGTAGCACATCCGCGAGATGGCGCTGAGTAACGACAGTTGTGACGGTAGTCCCCCATTCCTGCTTCGCGGACTTCGGGGGAAACCCTTGTTTGGCTCTGGACCGGAAAAGCTCTAAGTTTGGTGGACCATGCTGACTTCGGTGACTCAGGGTTCCCGGGTTCTTGTAGTCCGACGGAGTTCCTTTCTTCCTGATTGCTACATTTTCTTTTATTTCCTCAAAATTGGGTTCCTCCCACTTCCAAATTTGGATATTCTCATCAAACATTGTAATAGCCGATTGGCCAAAGCTCTGGTATTTTGACAGAAATCATTCATCAAAATCAAAAGTTTCTTATCGATTGAATACTAGACATTTGGGCCTTACACCAACTAATAAACACTTAACACTCTAGAACTAAAAACCGGCAGGGTCTGGACCCTATAAGAGACTTTATTCATAACTGGCCGGATCTCTGGAGCATATCAGATATTTTGATATAACGTAACACTATACTGCCGGCCCAAGGACGAGGTACGCCGGTTGTTAGTCGTGCTGTGCTCAATAAAGATATGTCACTCTTCATTACTGTGATCGACTGTCGACGCTAATTAAAGTGATAGGGCTGGTTCCTTACATATGACAGGTGAAGCATCAACAGATACCAATTATGCAAATGATGACCTAACTTGCATTTATTTTACTCAAATGTATATGTTGTTTGCATAATTGATGAGGACAAAAAGTCATATTAAGTATATTAAGTCGGCCGGTGTTACTTAAAGTTAAGACTAACAACGATGCAATTTCACCTAGAATCAACTGGTACCACTAAACTCGGATATACAAGCTTGGAGCCTGACAAGTGGTGAAGCTTAATTATGATGCTGCACAGGCATGAATTTTGTCTTATAATGGTCAGTTTTAGTGGTTACTTATTTGTTAAGTCGTAATGTTTGTCATAGTTTTACATTTTACCAATTGGCCAACTTTTCGTACATTTTCTCAGTTTTATCATTTACGTTGTACACATTTTCATGAAAAAGACGACCATCCAAGAAAAGTGCATTTAAAAAAGTACTTTTAAAAAAGCTGGTCTTTCGCTTAGTAAAGTGTGATATCATATACATCTAATATTTAAAAAAAAATAAAACAAGAATGACAAAGTTGAAATTATTCTATAACATACACTTTTATTAAAATGAGAAAATTTTAAAAGTACATGTACAGGGAGCAAGGACATTAAAAAGAAAATGTCCTTGAGTGGAGTCTGTGGTCGGGTAGGACGTCCGTCCTGCATGTGTGGAAAACTCTACAAATTATACCAGCAGACTCCGATTAAAATGTAACGGCTAACATAGAATGGCCAACTTAACTTCATACAGCTTACAGGACAAAACTTCGCATACAAAAACCATCCATACATTGTATATATAGGGCTGAGCATTGGATATCATATATTTAAAGTAGATAGTCCGGCTAACGTTAAGGACGTATATTTTTTTTAACGTCAAAAAAAAACCTTAAAAAATTATCCATATATACCAAGTAGGGACCGGGCAATCCCAGCTATCTGTCCCCGGCCACGTTTCCATCCTTCTAAAAGCTGTTTTCATGTCGTGTTTTGTTACGACTGTACGGAATGATCGGAACATGGCTGTGATGTGCCGTCATGACCTGAGGCTAGAGCTGTGGGATATGACCTCTGAATAAAGACTGTAACTCCAGAAATCCTGGATAGAATTTTTCCCAGACGATATAAAAATGATCAAGAGGACTTTGGTTACAGTTCTACTCAGGAACTACATATAGTTATATTCGAATACTACGATCTTCCGACCGATTCCCCCGACTGTACGGCACTCAGTAGTCGTCGTCGTTATAACATTGATTCGGTCCGCCATCTTGCCTTAGACGGCATGGCGGGAGGAAAGACTTTCGAATTCTTTTTTTTTTAAAGTACCGCTATAGTTGGAACCTTTCTAACGTGCTGTATTCATATACATACATAAATGTAACCGTATTCTGAAAAAAAAAAGATATTAAATATAATCTTTGTAAATAGACTATATAGTGAACACCACGTACTAGTAATAGGTGGTTATTATGTTAATTACCCATTTTTCAGTCTGTTTTTTTTAGTGTTCTTTTCTTGCAAGACTAATTATTCATAGTCATCTTGATGTTTATTTGTAACTGGCTTCTCGCTGCCGGTTCCTCATGTTCAGAACTTGAACTCAAAGGTCTTGAAAGAAAAGAAAAGTAACTATTATTTACAAGTGTAATTAAACAGAGTAAATGTAAGAAAACTGGTCAACAAAGTTAGTTTAAAATACAAGAATGGTGCCACTTCTCGAATATGTACTGTGAAATGATATAACCTACCTGGAAACAGCCTTCATCTTCATCGTGTTTAGGAGAAACTGGTTTCATCACCGATGGGCGAGGGATCTTCAACTGAAGTGGGTGAAGAGACTTTCAAAATGTAGCATAGTCAGAGAATGATAACGAGACAAATAAAAACATACAAAAGTACTACGATAGAGAGAACTAAAGAATTTAAAGAAAATAAGAGGGATAACTAATGTATTTTGATGGTCCCTTAGTCTAGGTCCCTGAAATAGCGCACCTAAACTAGAGCATGAGAAAACCTACCTCTCCAGTTGGTATATTCTCCACGCTTGGGTTGAAGAAAGGACCTCCTCTGGTTCCCAGGGATTCCTTGTATATGGGAGGAAACATAACAGCATCAGATTCTACATACTAAGGAGGAAAACATCAAAAGTAAAATAACTTTACACCTTGATAGGGGGCATCGAGGCTGTCAACACGGGAAACAAAAAAAACATATACATGTGAATTATGAAATGAACAAGTATCATAGCTAGTTGTTACATTTTGGACGGCTGCCCTTGGTAACAGACAAGAAATGTTATACACTCAACGAAAACAAAGAAAGAGAGAGGGAGAGAGAGAAATTTAGGATATATTTTATAGTTTTTGTTTATCAATGTATTCATTAATGTAGTCTCATGTCTGTTCCCATCATCAACCTCTTTGGCAACATCACCGAAAGATAAGAACGTCCCAAATTCACAAATAAGATAAAACACAAGCTAGATTTGCTTCAGGTAAAAAAAAACAGGTTTTGTATGTATTAAGCTGTACACATTGTAACTTTATGTTTACACGTAGATAAAGTTCAATGTTTTCAGCATAAAGAGAGAGGGGGAGGCTGTTTTTAACGTTTTTAACGTCACGAAGCTCTTTAATCAATAAAAAATGTTAATTTATTACAGGTGAAAGGTAGTCGTCCTGGTCTTCACTTAGGTCAGTGACCGGAAGGCCACGAAACGGTTGCCACGACTCTGAGGCGGTGTAGTAGTTGGGTAGGGTGACGGGAGGTGAGGTAATCCTGTAACTACAATAAATGTTCACGCTTTACGTAAACCCAGTACCTAAAACCTTGTTAATAAATAAACAGTCAATGACAGCAACAAAGGTAACGGCCGTTAGAGAATCAGCCACATAGCTATAAACAGTAAATACGGACTGATAGACGTATGCCTACATCATGGTAGGAGAGCAAGTTGGAATCAGCATTTTTAATCTTGATTATGCAAGTCATGCTTTTCTGGCATCTAAAATATGCAGGGATAACGTCTTTCACTCTGCAGGAAAAATCTCAATCCCCTATAGAAAGTATATATATATAATGCAAAGGCTTCAAAGAAATGTACGTCGTGAGGAAACAGATAGGAGAAGCTAAGTTAACGTTACCTCATTTTGGCTGAATGCCTGGACCTCTTGGCCATACAGACAGCCACCAGCAGGGCGACCACCAGCAACGCACACAAACAACCTGCTGCAATACCGATCACGTCCGCTTGGGTCAAACGGATCTGACATCGCTCCCCTCCGTACCAGGAACCCTCTACTGCCGGGCAGCTGTGCATTGTAATTAATCATTAAACGTTGTGTACACTATCCATTCATCACATCAAAGCACAACACAACACAAATCCAGCACTTACAGCATTTTTACCACTTCGGCCTAAAAATAATTAGCCTTGAACTTTGTTCTCTACAGCAAAACACAAAAAAACACAAAACATTACGACTTTTGACCAACCTATGACTTTCTGGTATCACTTCAAAATTCACAAATTTTCAGGTATCTGTTGTGTTGGACGTAAAAGTCAACTCGACTATTATATTCTATCCGAGAGAGGCTGGTTTTGATACTTACGAGCATTTCGGTCCCTCTTGAACGTTGTACTCACAGGTACCCGTGTTGCAGAAGTTTTCCTGACATTGGCACTCCGCTATGACAGCTCCTTGGTACGGCTCAGTCCGTGAACACACGCCCCCCTCCCCACACTGCACATCCTGGCAGAATCCTCCAACCACTTGCTCCAGCTCTACAGCAGATTGTAATTGAATAAGAAATCGGAGATTTCAGACACCGTGGAAGCATGTAATACTCGGTTTTCCGAATCCCCCTATGCCCCACTAAATCCTACAGGTTCATTGCCAATTTCTAAAAACTTTGGCCTCCTGCAATTTCGCCTGTAAACCTCTCCTACCCATGTGCTGTCAACCTACCCTGTCCGGGCAAACAGATACACAACCCCGCAGCTGAGCCACCCAAAACAATGCTTCCTTACCTGGAAGCAACATCATCATATAGACAGATTTCAAAGGGTTGTTGTCGGGCCCATTATTTTAAAGGATTCCTTCTGGTCCTTCCGTAAAACGGTCTATAGATACCATACCAGTTCTCAAAGCGCATTTGTAAGGGCAAACAATAATGACCATTTATAAAGACCATTCATAAGGGAACGAAATGAACAAAATGGCTCTGACGCTTTTTGGTGCAGAGCGTGAGAGAGATACTACTTTAGCAATAAGGTCACGGAGAGATGTAGAGAGAACTTGGCTCCTTTTAACAACTTAAACTGTCGATAAGCGTGACCATATGCTGCTGTTGGTGTTTCACGGTGTCTACCATTAATACCCACCTTCTTCCGTAAGTACAATCGGCTGCAGGCTGTTACTGCTGGTGACCTGGAGCGCGGGGTCAAACCTGCCGCTAGTGATCGCCTGCTGAAGGTTCGTCTTAGCCATATCCTGGATGATGCTGTCAGGTTGAGATTCTTCCACGGCGAAAACAGCGGCGTATCGGGCCTTTACACTACCCTCGCTAAAGGTTAAAAAAGATTAAGCATTGCCAAAGATTGCCGAATGGCCACAAAGCATCCCATACAAGTAACTGTATGTGATAATAGCCCAGAAATGTTTTTGATTTGGTAACTGGTCTAGGTGTCTAAAGTTAGCATGGTTACTAATATCTGAAGTTTCTATGAATTCAAAGTTGCATACTATATACTATAATATAATGGAATGAAAAAAAAATATTGCCCGTACGTACACTAATTGGATGATGATAATTTCGATGAAACCAGGAATTCCGGTGTAGATGACAGAGAGCTATCGGTGATAAGATGACAAAAGATCAACCTAAGTTATTATGAATACATAAACTAGATGTATGCGACCTACGGTTCTATAAAATAAGCTATAAATTGAAAATGGGCCGTGTCATGCAATAATAGGGCTTCAGAGTTGACAGCCAACAACACCACCTTAATTCCTAGCGTTACGATGATCTAACGACATTTAGTACCATGACCTCAACATGCAATACAGATTGAAAGAGTTAGTGGAAAGTTGTATGTTTAACACACAAGCAAGTAATTCTGTTCACTTACTGATGTTTTCAACTGTGATGATAATTCCATGTACTCTGCTGAAGTCTTGTCATTGTATTTAGCACTAAACTTCCTCTCCATTGTTATTTGGGCTGGTACAAACTTTCGTGGTTTTGCTATGAAATACCAACATTCAGACGTCCGTTAGTTAAAAAAATAAAACAATATCACAAATCTATATAACATATCGTGGTTTTCATGTGAAAATGTAGAATTTAAAAATTGAAAAAAAATACAAATGTCTATGATAATAAAACGTACCAACCATTCCTACAATTTGAAAGCAACTGAAGTACGCAATAAGGGAATGAAATAAAATGAAATATTTTTTTTTAACTCACGCGGCTCAGGAGTGACAGTCATTGATGTTGGTGTTGGTGTTGTTGTTGTTGTTGTTGTTGGAGTTCGGGTGCTTTCTGTTGTCACTGCTTTAAGTATGATTTTTATGAAGAATTATTTTAATATCCTTTTTTAATTTTTATTTACCATCTTTTACAATTTATCTCAAGCACGAATCGTATCAAATGTTAATTCACAGAACTTGAAATTGTATATGTATTCCGTTTTATATATATTTTTTGCAATGATATAAGTCATTACTTGTTTCAGCGCAGGTAGGTCAATTGAAGATGGCTGACCGTCAGCAAAGTACAGATGTATATATATATAAATATATGGCCACAACAAGTAAATTCTATGGATGACATCCTTCCGTAGACTTTAATCTAATGCGATAGGCGAAAAATACAAGACGGGCCAAAAGAAGATTCCTACATTTTACAAATTGCGACGTTATGAACCTTGTTAAACAAGAAATTATACCATTGTACATTCAATCATTGCACACGTGGTTTTGATTCAGTGGGAACATCACACATCTAAGCTTTGTCTTGTCTCCTCTCGTCATATTTTGATCACTGTCAGAAGTCAACAAAATTTCTTGTCTTTTGTTTTCCAAAATCAGGCGAAAATCAATGCGCGCTCTGATGTTATCCGTAGGAACTATTTGCTGCGGCCTAAAACAAAATGAACAAGTAGATACAAATCTACACATTACAATTCAAGTCATGATAATTTCAGGCATTCGTCAACAGAATAAAGCTTTGCAAAACCTACAACAATTACATTTTGTTCAAAATGTAAATAACTACAGAACAAACCATATGTTAGTGTCATTAAACTCTGCCTATACTGGTCTACATGGGGTAAATTCAAACAGTTTACACATATTTAGTTATCATGCATACTTGCTTAAAATCTGTGGCCTTAAAATCCGTACACAAATCGTGCCAATTGATGATTCACAGAAATTTCTTTTATATACCTCATCAGGTCATGCCAAGCAAATATTGTATGAAACTGTAAAATCCTCTCACCTGTACAGACCGTTCCATCTCCAAAGTAACCAGAATGACAAGTGCATCTGTAGGAACCAGGGGTATTTGTACAGTCTGCGTGGCCATGGCAGTTGTCAATGCCGTCCTCACACTCATGGACATCCACACAGTTATTACCGAAGTAACCAGGCTTACAGGGACACGTGAAGGAACCGACGGTGTTCGTACACACCGAGTTTTCTGTGCAGGTATCTGTGCCTTCTCTACATTCATCTTCATCTGAAATATGGTAAACCAAATTATTAGCATCAGCGTCATCAGAAATGCAATATTTTCTGTGTCAATATATTACTTCCAAAAATGAATTTTTAAAGGAGTGGAAAAATTCTATCCAGTTGTATTTTGGAAAAGATAAGGTCATTTTGATTTGATTGTGACACCACTTATGTCTGATGAAATTACTACAGAATATTACTATAGAAATTACATTCATCAAAGACAATTGAAATTGTTTATAAACTAAAATTACATACGTCAATATAAAAAGTTAAGGGAAACTGTATGTAATGAGTCCCCCGAAGAAAAAAAAATAACAAGAGTGGAGGAAACATAAGGTGTTCTAAAATGTTGAAGCTAAAAAAATTATTGATGAAAGAAGAGAAAAATGTTAACTGGTATAAGTTATTAAACAGACAGTATTCGTCTGTGTGGCTGAAAAATTTCCACAGCTTACCTCCACAAGACGTCCCGATGCCTGTAAAACCAGTATTGCAGGAGCATACATAGCTGCCCTCCGTGTTTAGACATGATGCCTGTTCATGGCAGTCATCTTGCCCACTTAAACACTCGTCCACATCTGGCAGAAGATTTGGATAAACATTTGAGCATTTGGAATGTTATTCACTGTTGAAAACGAGTTAAGGGTGTATATAGATAACACAAAATAAACAGTTTCCATACAGATCACACATATTAACACGATCAAGGTTTCCACTGTTACTTTATAATTACATTCAAGTAACGACTAATATACAAGTAGTATGGACAAATAGAGTATATGATGTGGGGATGATGTAGGGATTAAAGATAGAGAATTGACGTTTTAAAACAAAACGCTTTATGCTCTTAGAAGCTATCTAAAGGCATCCTTTTTTTCTTTAACTCTAAAGAGTTGAATCGTGGTCTGGAAATGAAGGTCACACAAGTCACGAGTGCTTACCTGTACAGGTTCTCCCTGTACCTATGTACCCATCATCACATGTGCAGGTGTAGGAGCCAGCAGTGTTGGTGCAAGTTGCGTTTCCATCACACTGACTAATTCCTTCTTCACATTCATCAATGTCTTGAAAAGAAATTTACAAGAATATGTACTAGTCAGTCATTGAAAGATAATAATCCTCCTCATGTTGGTAATCCTTAAAGTAATGGTTTTGCAAATCCTTCAGTGATGCAAATTGATAGTTATTACAGCTAGGCATTGCCTGTACAGCATCACAATTTACATACTATACTATACTGTGTATATATCGTTACATGGATAACATGGATCTTTGATAAATCACATCAAATGTTTTTCAATGTTGTCATTCAGCGTTATTACAATGTTATAGCTGATTAGCTGATTGCTGAGATGTCACCCTAATTATATTCCCCCATGTTGTTTTTAAACGACACCATTAAAGATCGCCAGGTATTTTTACCGGACGAGGTTAATCTATTTCATGTACCTTCACATACTGTTCCGGTGCCGTTGTACCCATCTTTGCAGGTACATTCAAAGCTGCCCAGGACGTTTGTGCATACTGCTTGCTCATGGCAGTGTGCTGAATCACCTGTACACTCATCCACATCTATGGACAATACCATCAAAAATTATACCAATTGTCTGAAATGTTCAACGCACGAAAATTTGGATTTACCAAAGGTTGTAAACTCAGGTAATGTTTACTATGTACACAGTATCTGGCTTTACAATGGTAGTAAATAAAGGTCAATTGCAGCAATTTCCTTTACAACCGTTAAAAGTCCGGTATTATCGTACTTGACCTTTATATACTGCCATTGTAAAGTTCAGAAGTGTTTACTAAGAAAAAACAAAATAAACATTACCCAACTATACTGCTCCGGTAAATCTAAGTTTTCGTGCTGTGGTTTTAGAAAATCTTTTGATAATTGTTATATATATATGTTTAAGCCAAAATGGCATACATTCACATCATACATATATACCTTATTTTTGAATTTTAAAATGCACACTTTATGACAAATGAATGGTGGAAGCAAAGAAGACCTTACCGGCACAGAAGAAGCCGTCTCCTGTATACCCGTCCCGACAGGTGCAGTTGAAACCACCGTTGAAGTTGAAACACTGAGCATTCGCACTGCAATTCACAATTCGACTGCCGAATGTGCACTCATCGTTATCTGCGGGAAAATTGACACATAAAAAAAACATAATCGTTTTGAGAAATCTATAAGCCTTCCAGTCTGCTTTTTTTTGGAGCGATATAAGTCAATGATTTGAGGCGTGCACCTTTACTTTTCATAGAAGCACCGAGCACTTCGGAACTTGCATGCCCGATAATGTTTATATCATGCAAAGCTCAACAGTCATATCATGACTGTATCCTTGCTCTCTGATGATGATTTCTATGTACAAATACTTATTTTTCCAGAGATAACAAGTTATTTAACGTTCAATACGATGATCTGCCTTTAAAGTGATACTTCTAGTTTTTTGCTGGTGCACCAAATTCGTTGGACTTGGGAGCATCGGTAAGTCAAAAAGTCAGCCTGGGGCCGTACCTCATTTTTGTAATTTAAACGTTTTTAGAACCGCTTTGGTTGAATTCAATAGATCTGTGATACAGTAGGGATCAGAACATCCGACAGACGCCACTCTCATGGTACATGGTAAAGTATATTGATTTTGCTCGTAATGTTACACATTTTGCTCAGAATGTGAAGTAAACGTACCTTCACAGGATGTCCCATTGCCGATGTAGCCCTGTCTGCAGCTACAGGTGTACCCTCCCTGGTTGTTGTTGCAGAAGGCATTGGGATCACAATCGTTCAGACTGCTGTCTGAACACTCATCAATATCTATCAAAATGTTAAAAAAAGTTACTTTTAAACTGAGTAATCAGAACATGGCAAAATTGGATCATACTCATGCCAAAAAAATTAGAGACAGATACCTATCCTAAACCTTGAAAAAAGATTACAGATATGGAAAATGTAGTTAACTTTTTTTATACGATTAACATTGAAAACACGTAGTAAAACAGAAAAAAAAAACAATTATTGTCAGTTGCATGTTGGGGAAAACAAATACAAGTATGATATCTCACCAGTGCATTGTCGACCATCAGTACCAATCATGTAGCCACTGTCGCAACCACACGTGTAACCTCCGTTTGTGTTGTTACACAGCTGGTCGCAGGCATTCAGGGTGTCACTTGAACATTCGTCGATGTCTGTGATACAAACAATTTCACTACATGTACCTCAGTATAATTTTCTAATACTATACACAATATTTTCAATCAAAACGAATCTAGTAAATAGTCACATCGACATTGCTAATCACATTTACTAACTGTACACTTGAGGGCTTGCTTCTTTTTCTTTTTGTATGAGAGTAAACATAAATTATTGTTTTGGTTAATGTTTGACATGAATTAGTAGCCCGGCAAAGATGTTATACTCTTCTATCATCAGGCTTACCAGTACAAACTGTGCCATTGTTGGTGATGGTGTAGCCAGAAAAACACAGGCAACTCTCGATTCCATTCTTCACAAAGCAGTTAGCATTCGTGCAGACGGTTCTGGTGCAATTTACAGAGGCTGAATAGGAAAAACTTGTTAATTCATTCTATTACAGAAAACTTTTATTCAAGTAATTGCATAAATTTTGAAAACTGCCAAAACGTTTCAAGTAACGACAACTAAGTTTGGTCAGTACTGGATACGGATACTACTTGAAACGTTTACCATACATGAATGTTCAACTATACATGTACAACCATACAAAGCCCTCGGGGAATATACAGAACAATATTTCGTCTAAAATATTGAGATCTTTGGAATAAATCCTGAGATTTTTCCATTTTTAACGAAGCGTGAAGACCCCCGCTGGGGGTCATTATGATCCGCTATGTAACAGAGATGTTTTTGACAAAATATTGGGTATGTACCTCTAAGCTCTGAACAGCCAGAGAGATTAGTCCAAAGTGCTCTGCTCATTCCAATAATAATCTGCTCGCTGTTACAGATACAATTATATATATGACCCGAAAACATAATTTTTTTCTAGTCTACTTGTAAAACCCAATACCCATGTTACCAAAAAGTTACCTTAGCAGGCTGAATGTTAATGGTGGAAAAGTTCATTACCTTTACAGGAGTCCCCAACTTGAATGAATCCTGGGACGCACGAGCAGTTAAACCCACCGTCTGTGTTTGTACAGGCCTGTTCACAGTCATCCAGCTGTTCTGCACACTCGTCAATATCTATAGCAATACGTTGTTGTTGTTTATTAATTTAACCAGAAAAAAACATATTGCCTATTGGTGGTTTGGAAATTCTTGCGACCAAACCCCAAACTGAAAGTACATAACCTTATCAAAGTAGTAAGGTGTCAAAAGAAAGGTCAATCAAAAATAGCTGAAGCTTAGTGAACAAGTTGAGATCTTGAATAATAAATTATGCGATGGAAGAAAAATGGTTGTCCAGACAACAAATCATATTGATAGATGGTTAAACAGAACTCCAAAATAAAGCTAAATATAGCTAACTTTGCACAGGGAAGTGAAGGAGGTCTAAAAGTTCCACGGTATCAAATTTGTCAACTTGACAACTAGCCAAATTTCATACCGTGCTTGCAATTGAAATTATTATTATTGTTATCATTGATTTGAATTAATCTAAATATAGAGTAAAGTACTGAATGTTATTCTAATCTTGCATTATAAACAATCGCAAACTCATTTCAAATGTCTGATCTACGTGTTTAATCATAGGGTAAAATGTACAAACATGTTTTTACCATCACACTTGAAACCATCGACCGCTAGCCTGTATCCATCCTCACAGCTACAGGTATAACTTCCATCAGTGTTGGAGCAGTTCATAGAGCATTTACCGTTGTCAGTCATACACTCATTCACATCTGTGGAGAATGAAATATACACATCAGTTTCTTCCTCACCGATTCTTAATTTTTTGATGGCCATAGCCATTCATTTTCTTAACAATCCTTTTAACCTCTTTTTTACACGACTTTGTCCATTTATTTCGTTGTAATATTACACCATTTTCTGTCGCTGCCACAACATACAAGCTAAATAAGGCAATGAGCTATACTCGAGCGACCAATGATTAAAGCTTGGTGTGTTTCTACCTGTGCAGTGCCTGCCGTCTCCTTCGTAACCATTATAACATGTACAGTTGTAGCCTCCAATCAGGTTGGTACAGACGGCTTTTGTGTCGATGTCACAGTAAGCTTCTCCCCTTACACATTCATCAATATCTGCGGCAACGAAATGGAATTATATGTACTAGTACACCAATTAACCAACAAATCATCTACTAACTACCAGTTATAGTTATCACTGTAGCTTCATATAATATGCAGGTATATCTACATTTTCTTGTGCATCCTGACAAAATATTGTGCAAAATGGCAGGTGGAACGGTGACTCATTTAAAACGTATATATTCCTTTAAGTAAGCAGTTTCTACTACAAGTATGAAAGGTGATCACTAGCGGTATAGTCACATGGAATGTCATCTTTCATATGAAAGAGAATGATGAGTAATAAAACGATTGCTTTCTAGAATGTAACTGCAATATACTCATGACAAGATTATGATTGTTCACACGTTTTTCCTCCATTAGGAGAAATGTAAACTGCTTACCTTCACACTGAATCCCATTCCCGACGAATCCCGCGTTACACGAACACGTGTAAGATCCCGGAGAGTTTGTGCAGGTTGCCTCATGAGCACAGTCATCTATAGAACTTCCACACTCGTTTACATCTATATTAGACAATTAAAAGAAAAAAAAAGGTATATATATAATTCACACGGTAGACTGGACACAATAAAGGTAGAACCATAACATTATTCAGGCCGCAGAGACAGTAGGTTGTTTATCGACTAAGCTACGATATATGAAGTGGAGCCCATCCCTCTACTTCCACTGCCTTTACCTCCTCAGCTAAAGCCAGGTACAAACTTTACACATGGGTGGAGTGACGAAAGTAGTGTAGATCGAAATACCATTTTCAGGGACACAGCGTCTTGCCAGTAATTGAACCCGTGACCTCTCGATCTCCTGCCCGGTAGCCTAGGCTCTTGGCGATTGACGCCATCACATGGGCACAATACAAATATCACAAATTTTCTTCCTTTTAAAATTTGACTTAAGAGTAAAAATCTTCATAACTTACCGGTGCAAATGACTGTACCGATCCCTTCATATCCATCTGTACACAGGCAGTTATAAGAGCCCTCCGTATTGGTACAATCCGCGTTCTCAGTGCAGCTGTTCAGAGCAGCATCTGAACACTCGTCAACATCTGAAGAGTCACCGTCATATAAATTAGATATATATATATATATATATATATATATATATATATATAATAATAATAATAT